TTCAAGAAATTTAGATCAAGTTAAATATAATTTCAGCAATTAAGTAAAATAATTTTGTCATTAATAAAAACTAGTTTTATCATTTCAGTTTCGTCAATTTTATCATATTAAGAAAGGTAATTTCGTCAGATATCACTAGTTGTAACTAATTTTAGATTATGTTGCAATAATTTGTAAATTTGAAATCAATTGCTACACTATCTTTAGCACAAAGTAAACTTAGTAATTAAAATTAACAAAAATTTTGGATTTCCCTTCTTTTTTTACTAATCACCTCTTATATATCTTATTTAGTATTATTATAAGATATTTTACTCCTATATGATTTAGTAAATTATTAAAATATTAGTTATTCTATATCATACCCTTCATTTTTTCATTTTACTAAGTATTCTGAAGAAAAAATTTTTTCAAGTAAAATCATATTTGTTATTATACCCTTATTTGTCACAAGGTTAATTTATTAATGCCGTAATGCCGGCCAATGTCACGTGAGAGTGAAAAATCTTGTGGTGATCGTGTAATCACGTGATTATTATGTTGCCTCGAATTACATAACACGCGACTCGCTAAAATACAGTATATATCTGAAAGATTTTATGCGATAATGGGTTTTTTCCTAATTTGCAAGTTCTGAGAAGCAGTTATCAATTACTCAAGGTAGGTTGAAGAATCTTTAAAGGAAAATAAGTAAGTAGTAAGGAAGCGACTGCAACAGAGGGAGACTGTTAGAAGCCAGCAATGGCAAAGTCACCGTCCAGTGGGCGGATCATTCTTATTTGAAGAACAACTTATTTTAATATCTACCTTATTTACTTTGGTTCAAGAATTATTCTTTTTTTTTATTAATAAGCAAAATGGGAAGAAGGAAAAGTACTATAACTCTACAAGAACGCAACATTAACTGGATGTTAACCTGCTCCGATCCAACCCCACTTGCATTTTTCCAACACATATTTCCAGCTCATTATGGTCAAGCAACCGAAAAATATCGTCATATACTCAATCTAGCTTTGCACGAAACAGGTGATCCTGAGGTTCTAAATAAGCTCAGAAGAATAAAAAGAACGGTGGATGTATGTAATTGGATTGGAATTGGATTCCTATGTCACACTGTAAAACTTCTAACTCCGTTCCGTTTTGATAGGATGCAAGGATTTTATTTGACTGGGAGACATGGATGCAACAGAAGACAGCGGTATGCCCAGTAGTTGACTTTAGATAATTTGATTTGACATTGACAAAAAATCGTATATAGATTTTAGTTCGCCGTTCTGTTCGTAGAACAAATCTTCACATCCATGAGGAAATAAATTCTTTTGCGCAAAATAAGGTAAAGTCATACTCTCTAGAAACGATTAAAATTTGCAGTCTCTTACTTATGTATCATTTTGTAGTCTTCTCAATTGTCTTCTGAAAGCGGTAAGAAATTAAGTCATATTATTTTTTTTAACTATCTAATCTTAAATCCTGTCTACAGTTATCTTAGCATAACTTACTAAAACGTACTTTAGAGAATTCTAGGAAGAGAAAAATTGGAGATCAATCAGATGACGAATATTATGATGAATATGAAAGTGACGCATTGTCCAATGTAAATAAAAATAATTATGATGTATGATTATTTAATACTAGGTTCACTTATTCACTTAATTATATTTCGCGATCCATTATGTAGGGTGAAGATGAAGAAACCAGTGAGTTTGAAAATGATGATATTGAAGATAATAGTGAAGGTCATGAAAATGAAATTGGTGGTGAAAGCGATGTTGAAGAGTATTATCAAGTCAAAATTGATAAGAATGAATTCGTTCAGGCATTTGATAAAATACCGGAATCATCAAAATTAAAATTAAATTCCGGGAGAGTGGTCGAAAATGTACTTTTTAATTACATAAAGGATAATGATTACGAACAGTAAAGTATTCAAAAAATTTAGTTGCTCTTTTTATAATTAATGATACTAATAATATTATGTACATATTTTTAGTCTCGCTCATTCTTATATAATAAATTGTGATGATCAAGAGATCAAAGAATTGTTCAACGACGAAGAATGGACGGAATTAACGAAAGATCATTTTGGAATTCCTCAAGTTCCATTAGATATTGCTAGAGAAATTGCAAAATATGGAAATAAAAACTTGAAACAACTACGTGAAATCGTAATGAAATCTTTTCTTCCAGATAATGTTTCTTATGACAATGATCTGCACAGCGATTTAGAATGGATCCAGATGACGATAAGAACCATTGTTCATTTATTTGAGAATGAAGATTCTCCCTTACAACGAAACCATTATGAATATTGGTACACTATCGCGTTTTTTGGAATATGTATAGATATATTATTCCGAGATTCAAAACTGGGAACTGATGTGAAAAGGTATTTTCTTTTTTTTCATTCTTAATATTTTAGCATAATCTCAAAATATTTTTTTTTATAGATCGGATGCACCATCATATGCAAGTTCTAATCGGAAAAATCGTAATAAAAAAACAAAGAGAAAATTAACCGGAAGGAAGATTGATGGTATCATATATTTAATAGAAGAATTGCACGAAATGGGTGCAATTGAAGGGGCGAGGTCTTATGCAGGAATACATGATAAAAAGTATCTTTCCGAATATTTTAAATTACCTAAAACTCTTCGAGATATGCTAGCAGATATAATAAAAGCTCTTAATTATGATGGTAATAGAACAACTAACATTCAAGTTTTTGGCGTTATTCATCTTGGATTGAGAGTTCAATTCAGTAGACTTTGGAGAGTAGGAGGATCAATAACTATTTTCAAAAAAGATCAATTATACAAATTGCCACATACCTTCACCATTGATAAATTTAAGTCTTTTTTAAAATTTATGATATCAATATATCAGTACAAGGTAAAAAAAAAAAATATTTGTTCTTATTTTACATTATTATTTATTATTATTTCTAATTATTTCAACTTTATTTAATACAGATGATTTTAAAGAATAATATACAAGTACTACGTGGGGAGGAAGATCTTGAGGAGGAAGAGACTTTATTATTAAATGAATTATTAAATGTTGGCCGGCAACAAACGTCACCTCCGAATACTGTTAATTACTTTGCAGATTGTTTTAGGACTCCAAGAAAGCTAAGACAGAAAGGGAGGAAATAAGTATAAACCTGGTATTATTAGTGAAATGAAGGAAAATTAGGTCCTCGGGTTATTCCTTGTCAAAAAAAATAGTAAAATTGGTAAAGTGGAACATAACCTAAGTAAGAATATATGGGTATATATTTTATCTGTTATTTGTTTTCATTTTTTATTATTTAAATATACCCATTTTTTCTATTCTTTATTTAGACTTTAGGCTTTATTTTGAATCATATGATTGGCTATCATGATCATAATTTTACTTTGCATTGGATATTAACAAGCGGTGATAATAAAGATTATTCAAATATTGAGTAATTTTAAATACATTTAATTAATTGACATTTTACAAGAATTCTATTATTGTTTATAAAAAAATGCATTTATATTCGAAACCATATAAATACCAATTTCTTTAATGTATTGTTGTCAAATCATAACAAGGCAAGGTTTGTTTTTAGCTGAAAGATAAAGAAATGCTTGAAAATCATGATTAATAAGTACACTAGGGAACGGGGACCTTTGCTAAGTCCTGCGTAGAATTTAATAGAGCATAATGGACATTCGACTTTCTAGCGATATTATTGGTTGAAATTTGTGATAATCATTTTTGAAATATCACAAATGATTAATTTTATTGGTCTGAAATTGATCGTCATAATATTTACCAAAAAAGATAGGCTAATTTTTTGGTTATAATACTGTTTCAGCCTTTATTTAAAATTATATTTTTCGGCTTTTTTTAATAAAATTTATATAA